TGCCAGCTCCTTCAGCACTCTTGGGTGGATCCCATCTGGCCCCATAGACTTGTGGATGTCCAGGTGGCACAGCAGGTCAAAAACTGCTTCCTCCTGGATTATGGAGGGTTTATTCCACTCATTGTCCCCATCTTCCAGCTTGGGAGGCTGGGTACCCTGAGGATAACTCATCAGGCCATTAAAGACTGAGGCAAAGAAGGCGTTAAGTATCTCAGCCTTTTCCTTGTCTTTAGTGGCAATGTTTCCCCTCACATCCCCTAGAGGATAGAGGTTCTCCCTGGCTCTCTTTTTGCTGATAACGTATTTATAAAAACTTTTCTTATTATCCCTTACAACAGTGGCCACGTTGAGTTCTAGTTGGGCTTTTGCCTTTCTAATTTCCTCTCTGCATGACCTGACAAGATCCCTGTACTCCTCTTGGGTTGCCTGCCCCTTCTTCCAGAGCTGGTAAGCTCTCCTTTTTTTCCTGAGTCTCAGTAGTAGACCTCTGTCCAGCCAGGCCAGTCATCTTCCCTGCCGATTTGTCTTACAGCACATGGGGACAGCCTGCTCCTATGCCTTTAAGACTTCTTCCTTGAAGAATACCCAGCCTTCCTGGACCCCTTTGCCCTTCAGAATGGTCTCCCAAGGGACTCTCCCAACCAGTGTTCTGAACAGGCCAAAGTCTGCCCTCTGGAAGTCCATGGTGGCAGTGTTGCTGACCCCCTTCCTTACCTCACCAAAAATCAAAAACTCTACCATTTCATCATCACTAAGGCCAAGACAACCTCCGACCACCACCTCTCCCACAAGTCCTTCTCTGTTAGTGAACAGGAGGTCAAGCAGGGCACCTCCCCTGGTAGGCTCACTTACCAGCTGTGTCAAGAAGTTATCTTCCACACACTGCAGGAACCTTCTGGACTGTTTCCTTCCTGCTGTGTTGTATTTCCAGCAGATGTCTGGTAAGTTGAAGTCCCCCACAAGAACAAGAGCTCGCGACTGAGAGACTTCTGCCAGCCGCTTGTAGAATACTTTGTCAACATCCTCATCCTGGTCAGGTGGTCTATAACAGACTCCCACCAGAATATCTTTCTTGTTGGCCTCCCCCCTCCTCCTCACCCATAAGCACTCGGCCTCACCACAAGCATCAAGCTCTGTACAATCAAAACACTCCCTAACATACAGAGACACCCCACTGCCTCTCCTTCCTTGCCTGTCCCTTCTGAAGAGTTTGTAACCATCCATTGCAGCACTCCAGTCATGGGAGGCATCCCACCATGTTTCTGTGACGGTGACTACATCACAGCTCCTCCTGTTTGTTGCCCATGCTGCGTGCATTAGTGTAGATGCACTTGAGCTGGGCTATCGGTTTCACCCCCAGCATTGGGGTGACACCCCCAAGCTCCTCTCTGGTGAGCCTGGTTATATCCCCTCCCCCCTTCAGGCCTAGTTTAAAGCCCTCTCAACAAGCCCCGCCAGTTCATCAGCGAGGATCCTTTTCCCCCTCTGAGAGAGCTGGGCACCATCTGTTGTCAACAGGCCCGGTTCTGTGTGAACTCCCCCATGATCAAAGAACCCCAAGCCCCCTCGATGGCACCAACCTTTGAGCCACGTATTAACCAGTCTAGTTTTCCTGTTCCTTTCCATGTTCCTCCCTGCCACTAATGGGATCGAGGCGAACACTACCTGCGCTCCTGATCCTTCAACCATTTTTCCCAGTGCCCTGAAGTCCCTTTTGATTGATTTGGGGCTTCTCTCTGGCATCTCATCACTGCCTGCCTGTACAATCAATAGCAGATAGTAATCAGAGGGGCATACCAGACCAGGGAGTCTCTTCGCAATGTCCCTGACCTGGGCCCCAGGGAGGCAGCAGACTTCCCTGTGGGATGGGTCCGGACGGCATATCGGGCCCTCCGTTCCCTTCAGAAGGGAATTGCCCACAACAATTACCCTCCTTTTTTTCTTGGCACAGTCAGTCCTGATAGGTAGGGGTGACTGACTCTCCCTAGCCAACCCCCTGGATGGACCTTCATCCCCATCCTCATTTGCCTGGCCCTTGAGTTCCAGAGCCCCATAGCTGTTATGTAAGGGCAACTGGGAAGGTGAGGGAGGCTGGGAGGGGATTCGACCTTTTTCCATTCCCTACTATCTCTTGGGTCCCTAACTTTTGCTCGTTGGCAAGAGGGCAGGGGATCCTCTGCTTCTTGTGGAGCCTCCATCTGCTGCCTTGGCCTGAGGGATGGTAGGGTGCGGCTCCAGCAGTCTGTCTCCATCTCACACTCCCTAATGCTCCTTAATCTTTCCACCTTCTCTTTCAGCTCTGCCACCAGGCAGAGCAGATCATCCACCTGCTCACACCTGAGACAGCCACTGTCCTTACCATTCTCCGGTACAGCTGACAGGCTCTGGCATTCCCTACAGCCAGAGACCTGGACAGCCACATGTTTCTGTTTGTGTGGGGACTCCGTCTGGGTCACCACGTTCTTTCTGGCAATGGCTTTCGGAAGAGTGGAAACCATCGCTTGCTCCTCTCCTGGGATGTCTATGGCCGCTAATCGAGTGACCCTCGGAGCCAGGAGGGGGGCACGCGCCCTGCCCGCGCGAAGTGCCGCGCCACGCCCTGTTTGCCCGTCCTGTTCGCCGCGCTCCGGGTCGCTCGCGCTTCCTGGGGGCTGCTCCTGTACATGAGGGAGGTCCCCTCTCTCTCCCTGTGCTTTTTCACCTTTTGCCTCCGCGGTTTTTGCCGCGGTTTTGCCACTTCAGGAAGGGTCCCTCGGCACGATCTTGTGCTCCAGAACCCTTTGCCTCAGTGGCTTAATTAAGTGTCCTTAATCACAACCAGGAGTTGGATGAAAAATTTGAGATTATTAATGTACATTCCTTCTCCATGCGTATCCTTCAATATACTTTAAAAATGTAGTACTTGCTCAACCTGTCTTCTCAAAAGCTGAACTGCTGAGATGCTAAAAACATGCAAAACAAAAGGGCATGAAAAATTGAAAGAGACAAATTGCAAACACTCCTATGAAAACATGGTTTCAATATTCTTCCAATTGTACTTCTAAGTCACTAGGTAACAGTTTAGAATGTTAGATATTACAGTAGTTTATTTCTGTATAGTGCTATTCAATTACAGGGAAAAAACTTTCACCAAACTGCTACCAAAATCTGCTTTACTATTGAAACTACAAGATGCTGGTTAGTACATGTGAACCAATGTCTAAATTTAAGTACTATATACATATTTCATTCATTTTATTCTTTTTAAACACTAAGAAAATCATAGGAAATCTGGCAAATCATTTTGGCTTTAAGGAGGGAGTAGATATTAGGATAGAGGGGAACATGAATGTGAGTTAATAATAAGATTCTCATGAATAAATATTCTAATGAAATAGAAGCACTAGTAATTTTAACTTTCTCTGACAAATTTTGTTAAAGAGAAAAAGCTATTTTCACACAAACAGCAAGAGCACAAGGAGAGAACTTTGAGTTATGACAACCTAAATGCAATTGATATTGTAGTTTAAATATATGGCAAAAAGATAATCTATTCAGGTACTGAATGTATTTCAACATATAAATGATGCATTGAGTAGATCAATAACCAGTCATGAGAATTTTTACATCCATTATTACAGCCTGACAAAGGACAATTTATTCTAGTTCATGAAGCAAATTAGCTACATGCCCTTTACAACAAGCCAAGAAATTCTAGTCACTAAGACCTGAATGACCACAGGAAAAAAACACTATGTAAGAACGGCAGAAGGGGATGGATGAGGAGGGGAAAGCAAAAACAAACCCTCAAGAAACAGCTATTAGGGAGAACTTTGCTCTGCTATAAATGTACATATCAAAATGAATTGAGGAAGCAAAGTGAGCAGAGGAAACAGCTTATGGCTGTTCAAGCAGCATTCAATTTCCATTTTCTTATGGTTTTTTGGTCCAACCATCATTTGTATTTATAATGCTATTCGTAACAGGCTTTTGGAAGACCACAGAAATAAGAAAATATAATCCCCATTACTTCCATAGAAAGAAATTCCAGCAAAGTGATCTATCAATGGCTAAGCAACAGGTGAACTGCAAGTCTCAATCATTTGATATATTTATTTCTTTCCAAACAAGTGTTACTACTATCAACAGAGATGTACAATTTCTCAAAGTGAAAAAGGCATAAGTCAAACACATACTTATTCCACCAAAATACTGGAGAGGGCAGCTGAATTTTTTTTTTAAAATGATACCTGCATTAGCTACATGGATACTTTATTTAGAAGTCAGAAGGGTACTTCTGAGAAAATGTGTTTGAATAACTGCAAGTATTTCATTTGTTGGCAATCATTTTAAATGTACACTAAGAATTATGTCACTTCATTCTGTGATGAATTATTGATGTAAAAGTCTACACTAAGTTTTCCATTAACTTCCAACTTTTGCATACGAGGACTCTAGAAAAAAAGGCAGGCGAGCAGGAAAAGAATCTCCCAGGTGAAAATTCCCAATGGACTCCAACTTTCACATACTTATGTGTATTGCTTCGAAAGGTAACAGACACCACAGTTGATTGCTAATGGCTTGTAGGAAGCGAAACTGTAAGACCTGTCGGAAGGACCATCTGAATTGAGCTCTCCCCGGCCACAGACCTATGCTGAAAACAACACTCCATTGACTTCTGTAAATTTTGCCTAGCCAATATTTTTATTTGCTTGAAAGAGCTTCAGAATTTTATTTTTTTTAAGGCATATACTTTGGTTTATAGCTTACACTAGAAATTTATGACCAGTATGTCATACATTTTTCCTATTTGAGATAAAAGATGACAAAGTAAAGTCAAGTATAAACTTTTCAGAAAAATCAACTAATCCCTAAGAAACAGTTTGAAATAGCTTTAAAAAGTAGCAACTAATAAAAGTTTCATGACTAACCAAACACCACACTATCTCTCTAAAACGTCATTGCTAGCACATACAGATACTTAACTTCTCATGTGGAAAAATGACAAGAGTAAATAAATACAGGTATCATGACAGTATTTGCCTATTACTGTTTTATCTTCCATTGTCACTTGCAGGCCTCCACAGTAATTTCATGCTACATGTTGAACCGCGAAGTCAAAAGCGCAGGGAGGGAGAGGGCACCCCAGCCCCCCCCCCACCTCAGAGCAAGCTCCTAACGAGCGGGCAGCCCTGACTCAGTGTGGGTGGAGGAGGGGCCGCTGTG